AAGCCGGTCAAGCTGCGCAAAAAGTCCTCGGGCTGCTACTGCTGGGTTTAGGGTTTAGGGTTCAGGGTTTAGGGTTTGGGGCTTAGGGGTTTAGGGTTCAGGGTTTAGGGTTTGCTGCTAAGACGCCAGTGGACTCAGGACGTCAAGGGGGCCGTGTACATCCGGCGGTCGATTTGGTTTGCAACATGGACCATTGAATTGGAAGCCCGAACAGTCGCGAGCTTCTTGTCTATTACCCATACCTACAGAAGTCCAAGTCTGCATCATTTGAAACGTCCATTGAAATGACTTTGCCCCCGTACTACTATAAGGGATCACAATAGTATCCCCCCAAAGGTACCCCCTCCCCCCAGATTTAGAACCTGATCAAGTCCTAGATAATCCTTTTGTAGCTCTTTAAACCCTAGGGGTGGTACCTTTGGGAGGGGGGAGTACTACTTGGAGGGTCAGGGAGACTTAGTAAGTAGGTTAGTAACCCCCATAACCCATATAGTGACCGCATTTATCCCCATTATTAACCTACTTACTAAGTCCCTCTGACCCCCCAAGTATTGTAATCCCTTATACTAGGGCTTTTGTTGGGCGGCAGAGCTCTGCGGTGAAACCCTAGGTTGCTGGTGGTGAAAAACGAGGGCAACTCGACAACTGAGCTAAATGCTAAGCCCGAAACCTTAAATCCTCAATCCTGACCACCAAATCCTGTTCCTCAACCTGAGAGACTCACTGGTGGTTAGTAGGGACTGAAGGCTCCCTCCCCTAAACCCTAAACCCTAAACCCTATAGTAGTCCCTAATCCGCAAGGTGGATCCCTCCTTAAGTCCCTACTGAATCCTCAACTCTGAAGAGCACCGCAGTGGCCATCTTCCTTTTCATTCCGTCATGCCCTGCTACAAGAGGGAACAGCAAGATAGCTTATTCTCCATCCCTAAACCTTAAATCATACATAATCCTAAATATCCCTACAACCCCCTTCTTTAGGTCCTAGCCCCAAAATCATACATAATCCTTTATACACCTACAACCCCCGTGTTTAGGTCCTGAACCCTTGGGGTCGTCTATGTCCCAAGTCGAAGGCTGGCTACACTGCGGAAGCGGCTCCGATCTCGCACAAAAAGCCAAGCATCGCAGGGTTGACTCATGGAGAGCACGGAGCCATTTTGAAAGGAGAATGTCTGAAAAATACTGTCCTTTCGGGGACCCTGGGGATTAGCGGGGTGATTTTAAGATTTGCATATGTATAGCGCGCTCCCAAATATTTGCAGAGCTGCAATTTCCGTGGCAAGTTAGGTACAGGCAATCTTGGGGACGCAAGGTCCTGGGAACTGCCATCCCTAAGAGCCATGAACCATGCTCACGAATGGTTACAGTGATTGCTGGGCAGCTACAGCTTTCATTCCTCTGTCCCGCAGGCAGACTGGTTCTAGCAAGTCTAGCGTGTATTCAAGCATAGTTTGAGGGATCCTAGCTGACGCTATGGCCTTCTCCCGCACACAGATCAAGGCACCTTCCATGGACTTCATGTCCACCACGGATGATGGCTCCCGCACACCCTCCGAGCGCGAGAGCGACCACTCGGGCGAGCCAGGCCTGCCGAACTTGAAGCTGGTCTTTGGGCTCATGGAGCGCGGTCTTCCATCCCTCGAGCGCGGATGGCGCACCCCAGACCCCTCTCCGATCCGCACCGGCTTGCCCAAATGTGCCGCGTACACGGAGTTCATCGAAGAGGAGGAGCAGCAGCCCACTCCACGCTGCGATCGCGGCCGGCAACCAGCTAAGAAGGACCGGTCCCCGAGCCCTTCTCAGCAGCCCTGGCTGCGTTTGCAGACGCCCTCCCCGGAGCCGCAGTTGCCCATGCCTGCTCTTTCCCAAGCGTTCTTGCAGTCCTTCATGCAGCAGTACGACACCAAGACGGAGCAACCGGAGCAACCGGAGCCACGCAGCAAGTGGGCGGATATGACAGACAATGAGGAGGAAAATGAGCAGGAGCCACCTATGCCCGAGGAGACCGGAATGCAGTATCCTCTTTGCATCTCCTATGGCTCTCAAGGGCATCCCTTCAGCTGCGGTCAGGCATGCAAGTATGCCGCCAAGGGCAAAGGGTGCAAGGATGGCGCCAACTGCGACCACTGCCACCTCTGCAAGTGGAAGAAGACCCCCGGCACGCAGCGCGGTCGCGGCCGCGCACCCAAGCCCAACCGCCGCACAAAGGGTCAGGCTCAGTGAGGCAAGGCTTGCCACTCAGGTCCAACCAGAGGGATGTGTAGCAACTATACAAAATAGTGAATGCTATCAACATTCCCTCCGGCGGAGCTTATGTGCAGTCTTGTTCACTACGTGTACTGGCCAAGTATAGTCAGCGAAGGCCTGTGCCGTTCAAACGAGTGACCTCTCCAGCCTAGATTTCTTTCTGCGGGTGGCCCTCGACATCAGAAGTTTACCATACACCACTTACTCATCATAGACACTGGAGGTATATTGTCGTGTCCGTTTCAGGCTAGGGCCAATCAACGCAAAATTTCACACCATGCACAGCGGCATGCAGGTTTGACACCGCATGCCTATCTTCCACGACTTGTGGCACCTGGGGGTTTCTCACAATATCCGTTACACAATCCTCAATAGGGATCCCTATACCCCCTCGGTCATCCCTAGATTATTCCTAGGCTCCCTATGGGTGCCTTAAGTAGCGATTTGTAGAACCCCCCCCACCTCACTTGCAGTTCGCTGCGTTCTTGTGAGGCTTCATTACTTCCGTGTTCATCCGTCCCTGGTTTGGCGCAGCCATTACCAAGATGTGTACCGAAGCTCAGTCTTTTTGAAGAGCGTGGACGCCTGAACGGAAGCACATCGCTTTGAAACCATATCTTTAGAAACTCCGGCTTTGCCGTTGGTCTGTGAAGTGTGGAGCACGGTCCAGACCATCGGTAATGGCGGCACGTTGGTGGGCAGGCCTTTGCCCACCCCTCCAACGCCTTTCGATGATGTAAAGGGCGTAGCTGTTGAAAGGCAGTTTAGCGATGTTTGTTGTCATTAAAGTCATCTTCATGGTGCATTGCTTTGAGCATTGCATCTGCCATGCCGTTCTCTGGGGGGCAAGAATACTTAGTTGACGTACTGAGGACACGACCAAGTCTTAAGCCATGGAGTATCTCATTGCCTTCTGAGTGAAGAGCCTCGGTTTAGATATAACATGTCTTGGGGCTTTGAGTACCAGATGTAATTATGCCTCCTACATCTTATGCCGTCAAGTTGGTTGAATACGGGTGTAGAACGATTTGCAAGCTGATCTGCATGCATTTCTTCTTGATTCTTGCGACTCCGGTACAAAATCGCAACAGTTTATCCGCAGCTGAAACCCGAGACCGTAAGCGTCAACCATTGCAAAAGAAGCTTGCGAGGCACTGTAGGGACGATGTTAGTTGTCAAAGCGAACTGCACATTGCCACCCTTGACGAAGCGACATGGCTTAGCAGTGAGCGAGGCCACTGAAAGAACCGTGTGATAGAGAAAGCGCAATTTTGACCATTCTCAGCAAGCATGCGGGAAAGCAAAATGCAAAGGCTGGTGCATGGGGTGCGTTGCATGTGCTTCGGTTTCTCCAAACGGCTAGATCTTTTAGCGCATACTTTGTGAGAGGCCAACATAGTTCTTCGTTTCGCCACCTTGAAGGGCAGGAATGGTGTGCATTGTCCTGTGTCGTTGATGCTTTGTGGATACTTTCTTCCCCTGGTAGCCATGAAATCAATCTCCCGTGTTCTTGTACTGTGATTAGGGCGTGTTCACGGCTAAAGGGTAAAAATGCGGATTTTTTTCTAAGGAGACTCTCTACAGAAATCCTCAGCAGGAACCTTGATACTAAAACTACCACCGCCGCCGCCGCCGTCGCCGCCGCCCCC